AAGATTTTCAATTAAAAGCCAGAAGGTGAATTAAGGCCTGTCACTAGCAGTCTGAGTCACCCTCCTCCTCAAACATTTATCTTCTTTTGCATTTCAAGTAACACGTCTTTCAACATAGCAATCTCATAGTTTAGAGCACAGAAAATGAGTCGTAATAGGGATTCTGATAGAGTAACCCTGAGAAGTACCTAAAGTAGCCCTTGTCTCAAATGAGACGCTGGACAAGCATTGAAATCCACACCTCCCTCCTGTTAATCTATTTTTAGTTGTTCTCATTCACCTCCCCTTAAGTGCAAAGCTCCATCTCTTCACATTTACAGGAATACTCACGGGATTGTGCACGTGAATACAAGAGTCAGCGTGTGAACATTATGCAGAAGGTCTGCTGTACACCTTGCAGAAGTGATGCCAGAGAGACAGCAATCACCTCTACTGGGCAGCGCACAAAATGACTTGGTTGCCCATAAAAGTGTCTTTCTGTATGAACATCAGGCTTCAAAGACAGAAATGCAAGGCAGGCCAGGCTGCCTGGAGAGAGTGTGAAGTTATGCAAATGTAAGTGATGCTGTGTAGCTGTCAAGTTATTCTTGTCTGGTTGCTGAAATAATATTTAAGAAGGATATGTAATGGGATTATACTTGATTCATGTCTCCCTCCACTGTTCATCGCTCCCCACTTTCATCTGTGCAATTGCTATTGAGGAGACAGAAGCAAGGCACACTGGAGAATTGCTGCTGAAGCAGGGAGAGAACTGCTCACAGCATAACTTTGCTTTCATCTACACATCCGGGCTGCAGAACGAGAACTTCTGTACATCAGGGTAAAGCCATGGGTACAGGGAGCCAAGAGGCACCTCCGTGTCCCAGCAGAGTTGAGCATCTCCTCTTCTCGCAGAGCACAGAGCAGACTGAAGGCCAGGTCTTTGACATGCTAGCTAGGAAGGATCTGCATTTCAGGAATTCTTCTGTTGTACTACAAGAGCTATGGACGCACCCACCTCAGAGACAACTGCACATATGTGAAAAGGGGAGCAAAAAAGAAACATTAAACTCCATGGCAGTGACCCTTCCTTGGGCAAACAATAATGAAAATCCAGTTGCCATGGGTTGGCCCTTTCAGGGAGAACTGAGCTACTGGGGACCCACTGCTGCTCAGGCTTCAGCACACAGCGCTTACACTCGGTCTTCTCTCTACTGGAACCATCGCCAGAATTCCCGTTGTCTTTCTGAGCTCAGCTGGGGCTGAAAATGCTTTGTGAACTAACTAGTTCTTCAGACAAACTTGTTGCCATAGGAAGCATGGGGTTTGGATGCTTCCATCTGATTTTATTTCCTTCCCTTTTCCTAGCAGTGTTGCTGTTACGTCATGCCAAGTATACTGATGGATACTCTATGTCTAACCCAGTCGTTTAGGATAGAGCCGATATCTATTTCACAAGGTAAAATGTGTCTGTTTCTGCTGCAGACACCTGGGAGAGTAGCTAATTATGGACTAGGCTTGAAATGGTACTTGCAGTTCCACTGCAGGGGCATAAAATTGCCATTTTTGTCTCTGAAGAGAGGTCTTTTGAATGGAGCATAATAGCGCATGGACATTTCTGGCATGTCAGAACATTTAGTTCCCACAATAAAAAGTCTTTCATTAATCCACACAATACCTTTGGATGAGAAGCTACTTATAGTAGATAAACTGGGATTCGGGCAGACCTGCCCCCTGCAAAAACCATTGTTGGCATTTTTAAATTGCACGTGGCAGGAGCAAAATGAGGGACATACTCTGAAGACGCACAAGGGGAGGACACTTGGGATTTTGCAGCAGGCATGTGCCATGTCAACTGGACACAGGGAAGGAGAAAGGAGCCTCAGGTAGGTCAAGAAACAGCATGTCAGGGAAAAACAGCAGAGAGGTAAGGATGGCCACTGCACCGCGTTTCAGTGTGTCCTGGAACATCGCTGGGGACTGGTTTGTACAGCAACACAAAATGCTGTTCAAAATGTCCCCTAGGGCTGGCTCGTACGTGCTAAGGAGTTGCTTGCCATCTACTTACTTGGCTCAGGGCAACATGCTCTGAGGAAAGAAGCATTTCCATCAAACCCTGCAGCTCAGGGTATGGAGGTAATCATTTCTGCAGCAGATGAGTGGTCTCTTGTGACTCAGGAAGATGTGACCTTTGTGCCGTTCTTTCAATATATCTGCTGCAGGCTGATATTTTTCTTCAGAAATTAAATCTTGTGGTAAGATAATAATGAAATTGGACATATCACACAGAAAGAGTAGGATGGAAAAAGGGGATGCTAAATCATCAGACACTTATGGCATCTTAAAATCTGTAATGGTTTCCTGAGGCTTCAAAACAAAAGCACAGAACTAACTCATGGAGTACAGAGGTGCTCCAACCTCAGACCCATCCCCACAACCCCATCCTCCTTCAAAAATATGCAGGAACAGAACAAGGGGAATGGGTACAAATGAAAACACAGAAAGTTCCATCTCCATATGAGGAAGAACTTCTTTCCTGTGAGGGTGCCAGAGCCCTGGCACAGGCTGCCCAGAGAGGCTGCAGAGTCTCCTTCTCTGCAGATCTTCCAACTCCCCTGGATGCCACCCTGTGCCCCGTGCTCTGGGTGTCCCTGCTGGAGCAGACGGTTGGACTAGATGATCTCTAGAGGTCCCTTCCAACCTCAGCCATTCTGAGATTCTGTGTCAAAGGAGACCAGAGCGATGGCCACTTGGCTAAGTCATAGACATCCCCCACCATCAGTTGCCTCCAGCTTTCCAGACAGTTCCCGTTATCTGAGCCATAGAAACTACCCAGAAAAAGAGGCACAGATGTGACCCAGCGATCCCACGGTACCTCCCTGGCTGCACAGCCTGGCCCGTGCCCTGCAGGGCATCCCGGGATGTTTGTTGGTAACTGACAGCAAACGCTGTCAGGCAGCAAACGGCCCCGATTCAGAGCAGAGATTGCAGTCAGAAATCACAGGATAAAACAGCTTCATCACTATTAAGAGGTAAAAGCATGAGGAAAAGAGTGAACAGAGGTGTGTGCACTCATGCACAGGAGTACCATTATCTCGCGCTGTGCAGTTCATTTTTTCGCTTCATTTCTTCCCTAATATTTTGAGCTCCAGTATCTCCATCCCCATTACTCTTCCCCTCAGAAAAGGGCTCGTGTGTGCAACACGGAACAACTCAGCGTACCTCAGCGCTCCACGCCGACGAGCTGTCGGTAGCATCATTTCCTTGCAGGCCCTGGTTGGGAAACGCCGCAGCCGTTTCCACGCGCGCTTCCGCGGCCGGCCGGCTAACGCCACCAGGAAGGCTGGACTCCATCCCGCGTCCTCCGCGCTGCCCGGAGCCCCTGCTCTCTGTCACTGCGCTTGAATCAGCAGACACACGGTCATCTTCGCGATACGACAGGTTGTCTTGGCAACTCAGTTGGCTTAATCCATCCAAATCTAATAATTTTCAGCAAGAAAATAATTTCAGAGGGATTAGAAGGAATTCTTGCTCTCCTCCCTCCCCAAATGTTTCTTTCTCCTCTTCTTTTTACCCTCTTACCTAGTGTATGACAGGCAGATTTCTACTTATGAGCTCTCCAGCCCTGGACTTGTGAATAACCTCGTGTACAAACCAACATTTGAATGGAATAGACACGACTGTCTCTCACTTTCCACGTCCTGAACAGCAAAACTATCTGTTTTTACTTGAAAAAAAAAAAAATCAAGGAGTGTTGGGGATGTTCAAAGCGTCTTGGAGCTACTTTGCGGTCCCAAAGCACTCACTTCCATGAAAGCACAGATCAGAAAAAGTACAGAAAAGCACAGCATATATAGGCCTGATGTCTTCCTTTTATCCAGGAGGGGGAGGAGAAAAGGGCAGGAACATTCTGCCAACACTTTACGAAGAAAAGAGAGACCTTGTGACGTCTAATGAATCTGATGACAGATGTTGCTTTAGGCACAGAAAGAACCCAACTCTGCCTCCAGCACTTTCAAGCAAGCAAGGAGAGCTATTAAATAAGTTGTGCTCCCAGGCAGCTGGTGAAAGTAATGATATTAGAATGGTTTCCTTCACTTGGGGACTGAAAAGTTTGCTCTCAACAAGGATATTGTTATAAAACATTCTGTTTTAAAAATTCGGCTACCAATCCAAAACTTAAAAAAACACAACAATGAAAACAAAGACAAACAAAAAAGACTGCATTTAACAGAAAGCAATTAGTTTGTTAAGCAAACACAGTGTTTCTCATTCATATCTGATCAGTAAAAATAATGAAAGGGGTTGCAATATGGAATCACATAAACGGTACTTGGGTAGCATTTGACAAGATGGGCAGAAGTCTCTGCTTCTCTCCCTTTAATTCAATTTAGATGTTTTTAAGTTCAGCGATGAAGAGAAGCACCAGCAGCCTGCGCCTCTTTCCTCCTCCTGGGAAGGGTCTCACTGCCCAGTAAAATGCCTCAACGATGGGACCTTCAAGAGAAAAATCTGAGACACCTCACAGCGTTATAATTCTGGTGCTCTTCGGAGACACAGCAGACGGTCCTTCAGAAAATGAGAATCCTCACAGCGTTATAATTCTGGTGCTCTTCTGAGACACGGTCCTTCAGAAAATGAGAATCTGAATTTGGATTTCTCACTTTCTAGGTGAGTGCTCTTCTCAGGTTTAAAATGTAAAAATCCACCTCTTTCACCTTGCATTTGGTAGACCCAACTCTGAAACTGAGAGCCCCCATTCTGCTCCACTGCCCTGAGCTGAAACTCTTGAGCTAAGGTAGAAAGTAAGTTGATTTTTGCTGTTGCCAGCAACTCTACAGAGTCAGAAAAGAGAAACAAGTAAATATAAGAGCACAAGCAAGAAATAAAATAACGGAACATCCAAGTATACAAATTTATGGAGACTGAATGGGTACAGGCTCTCCTTAAGGCATTTAATTAGCAAGGCAATATCTAATATACATTTTAAACAGTGGGTCATCCATCAAAGCACACACCACACAGCAGGCTTTCCGAATAAAAAGCTACCGTAGTAAGAAATTATCCTCATGCAATTGTCTTGTGGTTTTGACTCCTGCTGGGATAATATCTAGATCAATAAGACAGGAATTTTCAAAAACTGCATTAAAGCCATAACAGGCTATTCATAACGGGAAAACTCCAGAATTATATTAATAGAGCAAGACATTTCCCTAAGACTCAGACACAAAATGAATGTGTTCGGAAAGCAAATATGATATATAGGGAAAGGAACGGAAAAAGTGATTCACCAAAACCATTTAGTAAAACAGTCTTTTTTCTTTAAATTTAAGGCAGTTTGGTAAGTGATAATCACTTATAAATGCGCCCATTAGAGAATCATTACAGGTAATGGCTCAACTACACAAAGACAACTATACCTCTCCAATTACATCCATTCTAGCACTACAGTCACAAAAAAAAAAAAGAAGAAAAAAAGGAAAAGAAAAAAAAAAACAGTCAAACCAGAAGTGCTTCATGAAAGGGAAAAGGTCATAGCATTAAAAGCCTATAATTTACCTGAGAGCGCTTTAAGGAAGAAAATGTCAACTGTCTTATGAATAACTGACGTGAATAAACAGCACAGTATCAGGCATATGCAGAAACAGCATTATCTAAATATCTGAACTGTAATTAGCCAGGAGACCCACAGAGCAACAGCAGCCAAGTCGAGACTTAAGGACAGAAAGCACCACAGACTACGTACGAGAGTGTTTTTTCATTCTGCACCCCGCAATGTTGTTTTTGCTATGTCACACCAGCAGGCAATGGGAACACTGAAGATAAATCAGGAAAGCCTGTTTTCCAGATTGATGAATTGCTAGGAAGAAACTACAACTTCTGTAAGGTGAAAGGATGAATCTCATTTGCAACATGAGGGAACAGACTCCTCACAGGTCCTGGGCTAATGAAGCATCTCTCCAAGACAGGGGGAAACTTTCAGCACATTCAACATTGAAAATTAGGCTGGAAAATACCCCTCTCTCACACTGGCAGGTAAATGGTTAACCCAAATTATCTTTCTTTTTCAGTGATGAACACTCTCTCTCTTTAAAGCATTACTAGGTGCTAAAGAAACCAATACTGAGAGGCCTCATCAATTCTTTGGAGGCATCACAAAGTCAAAAGATGAGGCCAGGTACCTCCAGCTACATTAACACTGCACTGTTCATTGAGCAGCAAGAAACACTCAGAGGTTTCTTGCTTAACACAAGAAACCTGCGCTGACTGAGGGGTGTCTGCTCTGATGACTGCAGAGAACCAAAGTGCTTTAACAAGAACGTGATTTTCCAAAAGGAAGGAAAACTGATTCCTACCTCCTGACTCCACATCAATACATACGTGGAAAGTTAAGAGCTTACTTCAACACCTCTTCAAGGCAGTTTTCTATACCTCTTCAATTCCTCTTTCAAGGAGGAAGGATTTCCAGATGGATGAGGATACTTCTTGACATGAAATCCTACTAGCTCCCAGCAAGTCCCTCGTCCCAAAAGCCAGGAAAAGCAGCAGACACACGGAGTAGTGGAAATGAGGGATGTCAGCCCTCATAGAGCAGTAACTCTCTTGCTTTGCCTTGCTATAGGTCTGGTTTCAAAGCACTCTTCAGCGCTCTGGCACCAGCTGCTCCCTGACACACAACCAAACAAGCCAAGCAGCGGGCAGTGAGCAGTGCTCCTGCTCCTGGTTATTTTGTGATTAGCCCAGTAAAAAGTGCTATGGAAACTTCCCCAAAGAGCCTCCTAGGAGCAAAATCATTATCTAATTACAATAAATCTAAACAAAAATGGCTTGTAAATTTTAGGGGTTAAAGAGAAAAAGGATCTTAAATTTTAAGTGACATCATGCAATCAGGCCAAGATTGTTTAATTTACCACACGCTGTGTAATAGCACGAGAAGACTCCATGTTTCCAGAACTGAAATAGGCTCTTTATTAGCTGGGTGATTTGCAGACAGGCTGTGGTAGAGCTGCCACCCCAGCCACTCAGCTCCCCAGAGCATCCTCCGAGCGCTTCCTTCCTGCAACGTGAACTCCTCTTTCCAGCCTCTACGCAGGGTACTACGAAGATTTTTTCCATGAGTGAAAAGTTAAAGCTGAATGAATCTAAAGTGCAGATTGCCATGACATGGATATCAGAAACAGAGTGCCAACAAAAGTCCTGTGCACGATGATGATGTGAGGAGACTTTGCAGTATGTCAAGGCTGAAGGAGGAAGCAGACATTAAGGGCCCTCTGAGATGCTCAGTTTGCCATATCCCTAAGTTGGTTGTAGACGACTTGTTCTCCAAAGAAAACAAACTACCAGCTATATGATAAAATGTCTGTTAGGGGAGGACAAGTCCATAAGAGTTCAGGCAGAGTCAGACGTTGGTGAAAGTGCGTTGATCTCAGTCCAGGCTCAGCACTTCCAGAAGATCCTTCAACACCCCATCCAGAAGTCCTGAGGGATCTGCTCAGGTGAAGCAGTGTTTGAGGCACTATCAGGGGATCAATCCCAGCTTTGGACACATGAACCTTTCTGCTTTCCTGATCATTGCACCTGCCAGGGACTGAACTGAGTTCTCATATATGTGAAATTCTCTGACCCGTAACTGGGGGCTGGCAAGATGTGGGGTTTGTTTGGGAATTATCCACTGTGCTTTTTGATCATACAGAAATCCTCTATCAGCTGTTGTGAGTAGGTGCAACCATCATAGTACACCTGCCAACAGCAGTTCAATGCTCCTCAGAGACCCCTTTGGGTTTGAAGGGCATCTGACATGCCTACAGATTTGCTTTTATGGACATATTTGTAATGAAGGGTCTAACCTTGAGCCCAATGAAGCCAATGGTGCAGAGAACCAAATACCTTCAGTGAAAGCAGGCTTCAACTTCTGGTTTCATCTAGTTTCTGAATAGCTAATGTTATATCAATGTTACCTCTGAAATAAAAAGTAAAAGCAACTCTGCACCATGCTGTGACAGAAGAACAGTTCAACAGAGAGCTGTAACTCAAAATGATCACATTAATAAAAGAGAGCATTAAAATCAAACAACCGTATTTCAAAATTAAAACATTTTATGGAACAAAAAACAAAGGGCATTTTCATGATTCTTCCCTAATGAATTTCTCTAGATTTTAGAATCTGTTCGGGCCAATTTTCTAAGTAGCTACTTTTTTAAAAGCATTTCATCTTTGTTTGTATAAAAGAGTCATTACATTAGTCTATAGAAGATCATAAAATTCTTCCCTTCTGTGCCATAAATTTTTAGTTTCTGTCATTGCCTGACATTTGGCATATGTGCTGGTAAATGATACAGCATAATTCATTCACTGTTCACCTTGTGTTTGCAAAGCTGCTATAAAAGGAGACATTCAGCTTTTGCTAAAAGGCCTGCTAAAGAAATGAAGTAATATCGTTTAAAACTACCAGAACCAAGTCCTGCAGTCTTATTCTGGC